GCCTAATTTGAAATTATACTATGATGCGGTGGTTTTAACACTGGTTAGTGATTGGCCTAATTTAACAAATAAAAGTATACTTCATCTTGAGGGATGGGATTTATTATATGGGTGGCATGTATACTTAATTTATAACAAAAAAGTTGACCAAGCTTTTAAATCTCGTATTTTAAGAAGTACTTTATTGCAATGTTTTATAGATGGCACCTTGATCCACAAAAATTGTCTCGTATGTATCCTGACCTACAGCCTAAATGCTGGAGATGTGGTTGTTTGGATGCTACTTATTATCATATCTGGTGGTCGTGTAAAAATATAAAAGCCTTTTGGATTAAGATATGGTGGAATATTCAAAGAATTTTTAGAAGGAGGGTTAAATTTACCCCACAATTGTTTCTGTTAGGTATTGTTACTGCTTGTGACACTAAGGAGGTTATATTGATGTTAAATTTAATCACAGCCGCAAGGTTGTTAGTAGGGCAATACTGGAAGAAGGAATCTTTGCCTACTTTGCAAGAGTGGTTTTCTAAAGTTTCTTATTTGGCAGAAATGGCAAAGATTTCGGCTTTTTTAAAGGATCAATCGCAAGAGAACTTCTTTGCGGTATGGGAAAAATGGATAGATTTTGTACAACACAGGTTGGATATAAAAAATATTATTTAGTTTTTCAATAACTTATATATAAATTTTATATTTTATAGATTGTATTTTTTTTCTTTTTTTCTTTCTTGCTTCTTATATCTTTTATTTTTACTTTATTTTTTTATATTTCTTTTCCTCTTTTTTCTCCTTTATTCTTCTTCTTTCTAAGCATTTTTTCCTCTTTTTTCTTTTTTCTCTAATAGTTATGCTTTTTACATATATATATTATTGTTAATTATTTTATAAGTTGTATAAATATTGTATTTAGACTTATTTATGGTTTATATTCTTCTTCTTAAGATTTTAAGAAACTTAAGAAATTTTAATTAAGCCTATATTCAGCTCTGGGAAGGTGGAGGGAGGGAGTGGGAGGGTTGGGGTGGGTCGGGTAGGGTTGTTTTTCTTTTTTTTGTAAATTTTTTTAAAAATTTTCAATAAAAAAAAAAGAAGTACTTTATTGAGTGTCTGGAAGAAGTATTATTATAAATTAAATTATAAAATACCAATCTGGGGGATTCCTGGACACGTGATAGAGGGGGTATCTATGGGTGTGAATTTGGATAGGATTTCTTATAAGGAACTACTTAGATTGGTAGGGAATGATTGGCAATTAAAATCGTTAGTTGAGTTAAAGCAAGAAAATACTGTACAGTCTTGGTTTCAGTATAATCAATTGTTGGCTAGGTGGAAGTTAGATCAAAAAGTTGGTATCACCTTAATGGATGAGAATTTGGTAAAACAGATTAAAGATCAAAATCGAGCGCATATAAAGAGAATTTATAATGCTTTAATAGAATTGGATTCGGAAATGGATTTAGTTAAAGATTGTATGGTAAAATGGGCCCAAAATATTCAAGAACCGATTCCATTGGATATATGGGAGGTAATTTGAGTTAGAAATGTAAAATTTACCCAGGCCCAAAATTTAAGAGAAAATTTTTACAAAGTGTTTTATAGATGGCATCTGGATCCTAAAAAGTTGTCTTGTATGTATCCTAATTTACAGCCCAAATGTTGGAGATATGGTAGCTTGGATGCTACTTATTTTCATATCTGGTGGACTTGTAGAAATATAAAAGCTTTTTGGATTAAGATTTGGTGGAACATTCAAAAGATTTTTAGGAGAAAGATAAAGTTTACTCCACAATTATTTTTATTGGGTGTTATTGTACATTGTGATGTTAAAGAAATTAACTTGATGTTGAATTTGATAACAGCTGCAAGGTTATTTTGGTAGGGCAATATTGGAAGAAGGATTGTTTGCCTACTATAGAAGAATGGACGCTTAAAGTGTCAAATTTAGCAGAAATGGCAAAAATTTCTGCTTACTTGAAGGATCATTCACAAGAAAGATACATTTCGGTCTGGAGAAGATGGATAGATTATATTCAGAATAAATATGGAACTAAAAAGTTCCATCTAGTTTATGAGTAAATTTTAGAGTACTATTATTATTATTAATAGCTTATTATAGTAGAATTTTTATTAGTTTTATTATTATTTTTAGTTTTAGTATTGTTAACAATTTGGATATTGTATTGTTTAATAATATCAACTTGTTTATATTATTATGTTTATTTTTAATTTGTTTATACCTATGTTAAAGGGGAGTTAAAGCGCATTATGGACTTGGTTATTTATATAGTTGGTTAATGTTAGTTAGAGTTTGATTATTATATTTGTAATCTGTACTCAGCTCTGGGAAGTGGGGAAGGGAGCGGGGGTTTAGGGTGGATGGATTTTAGCGGGGGTTTAGGGTGGATGGGTTTTGGGGTGTATACTGTAATTTTTATAAAACTTTTCAATAAAAAAAAGAAAGGTCATGTGTATTAACTTGCAATTTAGACCAAAGTTTCTCAACTCCTATAAGCATAATAAGTTGGTTACAAAATTTTGCATCTCTTCTTTGAAGGTTTGTGACAATCAAATCAATTTCTCTCCTGACAAATTGCAAATCCAAGGAATTATTCAGAAAAGGTGCTATTAATGTTTAAGGATTCCTCCTTCACCACATGGCAACATAGCTGATCTCTTTTAATAGAGCCTAGTTTGCCTATGATTTTTAAGGAGTCAGGAGGAGCTTCCTAGGGATAAAGACATAGTCTCTTTCATCAGTCCAGTTGCACACCCCTAAAACTTAACTAAAATAACATCTCACTTAAGCAGAGATGCACAACTTTTTCTAGGCCAAGGGCCAAATTCAGTCTTTGACTGCAAGCTGACGGACATGTGCCAAAAACGTACCTCTAATATGATTTAAAAAGGATAGGTAATTTAATTGTTTTTGTTATTTACTCACTCTTCAGTTATTTGTCCCTAATTTCTACTACCATATTAGCATTTGCAAATTTGTAACAACTTACAGTGTACACTTGGACTTCACCCAAGGTTTTCAAAGATCAGGTGTGGACTCAGGTTATGCACCAGAGTGATAAATCAGCAAGCTTTTAAACAGGTCCAATTCTTCTATTTTTCACAGATACCAAGTGTACATTCTACTTTTTATGGGAATATTTTCTGTGCTTCAACTGATAAACTCCCTCCCCTCTTCCCTTTAACATTGTCTGTGACAAACTAACCTTTTAGCCATGAATGCTGAACATCGAACAAGAACACTCATCAGAATCTCACTATTGATTACAAGACTTGGACATGGTTCTTGGAGACAAACAGTTGGACAGAGAAAAGAGCACAGCTGCATAAAATGAACAGAAAAACAGCAGGACTCCCTTAAGAAAGAGAAATGGGAAATGGTTAGTAGAGGGATCCTCAGAAATAGAAAAATTAATCAGGTGAAGAATATTACTCTCTGGATTAGGAAGGAAGAGTAAGATATTAAGAACCAAGAAAGAAAGGATAAATTTAAGAGGACAACTGAATGATGATGGGAATTAGAAAGCCTGTGATCCACCCTTGCAGAATTGAAGTATTAAAGTCAAATGAATGTTTATTCACAAATTGCTTGTCATATCAGCTACATATGTACTGATGCTATTGGGGCAAAAGTGGAATCCAGGCAAGTGTGAACTGATCCAGAAGTGCAAATACTAATTTTATAGGATAGGGATAATTTGTACAATGTCTGCATCCCAGTTAGTTAGAAATGGTCTGAAAACACAAGGCCAAATGCCAAAGTAATAACAGGACAGCCTGAAATCCTTCTTGCTTAAACTATTCTTTGAACTTCACTCATGCCTGTAGGTCAAAAAGAAATGTGGACAACCTTGGCTGCTGATAGTTCAGCCTCCTATTCCAGATATCATACATATTCATAACTTAAAGAGAAGGAAGTATCTACAATAAACAATGGCAACCATCCAAAGAGCTATTTGAATTCACTTCTGAGGCTTTGGGCAAGCAGAGAATAATTTTTCACTTTTTTTTTTTTTTTTGCTTTCAACAGCTGTATGACCACATGCCATATAAGAAGTGTTTTTGGAATTCCCCAGTTTCTATATTCATATGCTATCTAGCATTATGAGAAGGGGGGGCACTGCAACTTGGAAAGGAAAAGTAAATTTTGGATCAGCCCTAACCTCCCACCACTAAAAAAAAAATATGGGGTTGCTCTATTTTAAATTGCAGCTAACTGGTATGAAACCCACTTTAAAACATATTTAAAATATAACTTTAAGTAGGCTTTAATATAGGTTAATATTTCTAAGAAATTCCAGGAAACTTGACAGTAAATAAACCAACAACTGGCTCAATGTCTCTTCTTCTATTTCTCCAAGTGAAAGGGGGAATCTGAAGCTAACTGGGATAAAGAATTCATTATATTAGTAAAGTCAATGTAGGATCTTAAATTAAACATTTTCCCCAAAGATTCAGTATATTCAGTATATTTTCTTCAGGAAAGAAAAGGAAAATACTGTATTAAAATACAGTTTATTATCATTACCATATCAATCTACTCACAGACACACAACAGCATGAACTTGGGAAGATCCATTGTGAAAGTTGCTTAAAAAAAGGATGAATTTTAACGGGACTGTTTTATTATTTCTTTCCCAATGTAAGTCCTCAATTCTACTTCAGACTTTTGGAGATACTTTGGAACAGGTTTGAATGTATAAGAAAAATGGGAAAATAGCTCTCCTTTTGGTTCTGCTAAAGAAACTAATTCATCAGATTTCATCAATTGTGCTGTAATCCCCTTTTAATTAAGCATGGAGTCCTTATTTATATAGTAATAATGCCCAGAATTCTTAGCCAGTTTAGCCATAGACCATGTTAACTAGGGAATTCCAGAAATTCTAGGCAAAATATAGCTGTACAGCATTAGACTGAGGAAAACTGCAGTAATCGAAACATATTCCATTAAAGATGTATTGGGTTTTTAAAAAATTATTACTTACCTGATAACTTTTCACTCTAACAAAGTCAACTTTCATGGAGATGAACCTTTCTGAGTTTCTACTGAGGTTCTTAATATGCTCCACAAGATCAGCACAGAATTTGTAGCCACCTTTAAGTACACAGAGAACCACGATGTCATTGTATCCAATGTCTTGCATGATATCTTTGGCCAAACGTTCTATCCTAAAGCAAGAATTAAAAATAAATGTAAGGTAAAATTTGGTCTCTCCAGTTCACATGTCTTTTTAGGTGTAACACACAACATATTCAACTTCATACACAGTTATATTTTAAAATTTTAATTTATGTTTAATTCTCCTGCAGGGCATAAAAGAGGCTATTTGCAAGGCCATCTCTTCTTGAAGATATCTTACCTGTTCCACTAGATCACATAAAATAAGTGCACTCTAGCCCTCTTCCCTTATGTGTTGCTATCTAATGGCAAATGTGTATTTTCTGTGGTAGTACCTACTCTCAGGAACATCTTTCCCTTTAACATCCAGTAGGCTTCACCCTCTTAATCTTTCTGAATAGTGTTAAGAGATGGTTCTTCTCCCAAGTTCTGGGATAAATGAAATCAGAATTGGAAGAGCTCTGTTGATTGCATCCAGGAAGACTGGCTACAACATAAGATTTCTTTATCTCTTTGTTTATTTTTATTTATTTTATAATTTGTATAGTCTTTTGTTTTATACAACTGTTTTGAGACACTCAGAGTTGTAGTTAGTCATATGCATCTACAAATAAATAAACAAACAAATAAACAAATAATTTGGCTGTAGCTTAGTGAATTGTGCATTCAATGTTATGCAGTGGAAATTGTAATCATCAATATTTTTTCTATGATTTTTTTTGGCACTGGAGAAAATGGGCCTAAATTCTTACTTTTTCAAGGGAAGGGGAGATTTGGGGTCAGCTTTAATAGAAACAAATAAATTATGCTTTAAGCTAGGCTTAAAGCATATCAAGCCTGTTTTCATTTCATTCTCTTTTGCATGAAAACCAATGCCAAAAACTTGTATCCACTAAACTCTGCTGATGTAGGGGGTATCCAACAACTTCCAGAAAGTGGCCAGTTTTGACAACTAAGCAAGATCAGACTTGGTTAGTACTTAAGCAGGAGATCTTTAAGAAACTTCTAAGAATGTAGGCTAGACCAGGAAATTAAAAAGAAAACATGAATTAATTAATCCTATATTATGTCAAGAAACTAGCATGGCAGTGCCTGTGAAGTTACCAGGAGTGCAGCTCAACTCAAAACCCTAAACATATAAATATGAACATATTTATATTTGATGAGCACCACCTTTCAAATTCTGATTTAACTGTCTGATAACACTTTTACCCAAGAGGATCAGAATTCTTATGCACATTATTACCACTCAGAAGCATATGCAGCACAATTTAAGATTCTTTTGTCAATATGCAGCACATTTCCATAGCTTATTATATCACATCTTCAAAGTATATTGATTATACAGTAAGGGGCATAGCAATCCTAAGTCAATACTTGTTTCAAGAAGAACGTTACTTAAGAAATTCTCTCTTTCCAACATTTTTCTCTGCACCTTGAGTTGCATCTTAGACATTTAGCCTCTGGGACATTATTAACATTCAAAATGTCTCACACGATAAGAATTTAAACTATACTCTGGAGGATAATTGATCAAGGCATACTCCCCATCCACCAAGAACAAAAGCATATTTTGACAGAATTTATTTTAAACTGTAAATTATTATTTGAAACAGGCAAATCTCCCAGCATCTCTCACCATTAACTATGTTGGCTAGGGTTGCTAAAAGTTGTGGCCCACCCATCTTAAGGCATGAAATATAAAACAGACATTTTCCCACTTAATTTTCTACATAAAGGCAGCCATCTAGAACAGCACAGAATGGATAGATCTGAAGATTTAAAGCTTTAGTTTTCACATCCAAAATATAACTTATAACATAACTGGATTTCCTGGGTAAGAGTTGCTTTTCAGAATAAGATGGGCAGCATTTAAATTTAATAAATAAATGTCACATTAAATTGATTCAAACATGATAATAAGTCTAACTAAGCTAGGTTTTGAATTAGCATTGTACCAAACCAAGCCACTGTAGTTTATTCCACCAATCATGGTTACAATCAAACATAGTTTAGAACTAGCTGTGAACCTAATCCCTCTACTAATTGGCAAAAGAAACCTTGTGCTTGGAGCAAATTAATGTATCAGAAATAAAAACCTCTGTTTTTAAATGGATACGTAATCCTATTTTATAATATTTAATGTGATATCTGAATTTCTCTGGAAATTACCTACACCAACTGGGAAAGTATATCCTCTCGCTGGCATTGTTCCACCAGGAGAGAAGTAGCAGCTGTTGTCAAGAGAATGAGCTTTGACATCCACTGAACAGACTTATGCCCCAAGCTCACCGGCTCAGATCTAGGAACAGTTTTATTACAAGAACAAACATTCTTCAGGATACACAAGAACAAAATTGAATTAAAAGATGGAGGAAGGAGACCATTGAGCAAAGAACAAAATTAAAGGAGGACATGGATGACCTCCATATACTACTTGGAGGACCCTGAATGGGTTGAGAGTTGAGTCCTAAATGTAAAACTAATATGCTCAAGGGGAAGCTCTTAGCAGATAATAACACACTATGTGATTGTGGAGAGACAAAAAGTCCAGCTGGTATGTCGGCTACTACCAGAAACTAAATGACTTATTTTTAGCCAACAACAAACCCAAGAAGGTGGCTTGATTCTGGCAGTTTAAAGTTTGATCTAGACATGGAAGAAGAATTTTCTCTGGAATTCCGCCATTCCTTTATGGGAAGTTCTGAATGACAGAAATGAGAGAAAGATTTCTTAAGCTGTCTGCTGAAAGGACAAAAATGAAAATGGACAAGTAACTCAAAACTATGATTAGCTATTGAAGGATTGTACATGTAGAAAATATAAAGCACCGGTTTTAAATCCATCAAAGTTTTTTACCTGTCAACAATGATCCCATGAGGTATGAGCACATAGTCAAGGTCTCCGCAGTAATGCTGTGGATACGTAAACAGATCCAAGCTATATCCTGGCCAATCATCTGAAATCTGCAAGAAGATATAAATTGGTTAATATAAACATTTCTGTACTGCATTACAAATGTGTTACCACATTTATCTAAGAACTAGATTTTTAAATATGGAGAATGAGAGATATCAAAGTCTTGTTGCTGCTGGCATGTTGGAGTTCACCTGCCAGTGAAATAATTGGTTAGAATTTCTGGGAATGTTTCAACTATCATGAAACAACTAGGGCAAAGGAAATGTATCTAAATGGATTAATCCAAAAATCAAGCAATACAAAAAAAAATCTGGCTTCAAATTCTTGTAGATCAAAAGATAATGATAGCTTAGCTTAGTTTTATGGTAAATCCAGTTGTTGGGCTTATTAATAAGCTATGCTTAAAATAAATCATGGCTGAACACAATGGCTGTCAACAATTGTGCTGGTGAACACCAAGGCATCTATTAAGACTCACTTTCTGCTCAAAAAATGGCCTCTATCCTCCTCATTTTCATAACTGTCAAATTGAACCAGTCAGGCAAATCTTACATAATTTTGGCATTTTTAAATTTTGATGATTCCAGAATTTCCAGGGGAAGATGGTATCCAAGGTCAGAATCTTGGCCTCATTTCAGTACAACATACTGGGATCACATTAATCTTGATGGTTGATGATTCTTTAAATACTTTCACAAGAATACAGAATACCATTTCTAACCTTCAAGTGTTGATATGTGCTTTGATCTAAAAGTATTGTAAACTAGTAAAGGAACTTCCAAACTTGGATAAATTTCCTCTGAACAACTTTCATTAAAGATGTTGGCAAGAAACATCTTCCAGTCCATCTGGACAAAAATTCAAGGTTAGCATGCCACTTTGTCTGGAATTCTGGGAATGTGGAAAACAGTTCACAAAAGTTTATGGCATAGTTTTTCATGATTTGCGATTTTTCAGGCAACTTCCCAAATCAAAATCTAGGCTAGTCATATCTGCAAAGGATTGCGGCATATTGATAGTACAGCAACAAATGTGCCTAGAAATCCAATTCCCTATTACCTCTAGTACCCTAAGATCCCCTAGTACCCTTCTGCTGGCAAAAGAGCCAATCTTCCGCAGATTTTTTCAAAGTAGGTTTTAATGAGAATTGAAACATTAAGGCTTATGCTATATGAGTAGCAGGTTAAAGAAACAATGGTGACATGGGCAATAGATCTAGGATATAATATAAATATGGATCTATGGGAGCGAAATAACAAAATCACAGTGGCGACATCATATAAAGAAAACCTGTATAAGATGGTTTACAGATGGCATCTCCCTCCGGCTAGATCAGCGGTTCTCAACCTATGGGTCGCGACCCCATTTGGGGTCGAACGACCATTTTACGGGGGTCGCCAAATGCGATCCGCCATTTCCCCCCTCAGGGGCGCCGCTGCACATGCGCGCCGCGCATGGGGGTGGCGCCGCGCATGCGCACCGCGCATGGGGGCGGCGTGTCCGTGTGGCCGGGGGTCGCCGTATAAAAAGGTTGAGAACCGCTGGGCTAGATTAACCAAAATGTATAACAGATATTCATCTATGTGTTGGAAATGTAAAAAAGAAAAGGGTACCTTTTTCATGTATGGTGGACATGTAGAGAAGCACAGGTGTACTGGCGTATGGTCTGGGACTGGGCAATAGAAATGACTAGGCAAAACATTCAATACAAACCGGAGACATTACTATTAGGAATACTAGAGAAAAATGTAAATAAAGAGGACACATATTTAATTATCCATGTGGTCACAGCAGCAAGGATACTATTTGCTCAAAAGTGGAAAGCAATGGAAGTACCGAGTGGGGAAGCACTAATAAAGAAAATTATGTATTGCACAGAACTAGACAGGATAACTAAAAGATTAAAAAATCAGGAAGAAACAGAATTTTATCGAATATGGAAAAATTTTATAGATGGAGGGGAAAAAATGGAGGTCACAGTAAAGAGATAAATTGAGATAGAGACTAGAAATGTATAGTTGTATATAGGTATATTATATGTAATTAATGTACAATATGGACTGAGATGTCAGTCAAAGACGATTTACCATGTTCAATGTTTTTAATCCTTTTTTTTCCTTTGTACTTAATAAAAAATTTAATTTTTTTTTTAAAAAAAGAAACATTAAGGCTTATGGAACAAATCATTTCCCCTTCAAGTAAAAAATGACTTCCATGTCTAGACTATAGATCTTGAATTTCTCAAGATGTCTTTGTTGTTTTTCATCAAAGTATTAGCTAGTCACGGCCCAACCCTGCATAGCCCAATGGTCAGTCAACATTGACTGAAATGTTATAATAATAATAATAATAATAGTAGTAGTAGTAGTAGTAGTAGTAGTAGTAGTAAAGTTGGAAGGAACCTCGGAGGTCATCTAGTCCAACCCCCTGCTCAGGCAGGAAATCCTACACCATTTTGGACAAATGGCTGTCCAGTCTCTTCTTAAAAACTTCCAGTGTTGGAGCATTTACTGCTTCTGGAGGCAGGCTGTTCCACTGATTAATTGTTCTCACTGTCAGGAAGTTTCTCCTTAGTTCTAGGTTGCTTCTCTCCTTGATTAGTTTCCACCCGTTGCTTCTTGTCCTGCCTTCAGGTGCTTTGGAAAATAGCTTAATTCCCTCTTCTTTATGGCAGCCCCTGAGATATTGGAATACTGCTATCATGTCCCCCCTTGTCCTTCTCTTCGTTAAACTAGACATACCCAATTCTAGCAACCGTTCCTTATATGTTTTAGCCTCCAGTCCCCTAATCATCTTTGTTGCTCTTCTCTGTACTCTTTCTAGAGTCTCAACATCTTTTTTACATCGTGGTGACCAAAACTGGATGCAGTATTCCAAGTGTGGCCTTACCAAGGCATTGAAGAGTGGTATTAATACTTCACGTGATCTTGATTCTATCCCTCTGTTAATGCAGCCTAGCACTGTGTTGGCCTTTTTGGCAGCTGCAACACACTGCTGGCTCATATTTAGGTGATTGTCTACTAGGACTCCGAGGTCCCTCTCACAGTTACTACTATTGAGCATGGTGCCACCTATGCTGTACTTGTGCATTTGGTTTTTCTTGCCTAAATGTAGAACCTTGCTTTTTTCACCATTGAATTTCATTTTGTTAGTTAGTGCCCAGTGTTCAAGTCTGTCCAGATCCTTCTGTATCTTAAGCCTGTCTTCTGGAGTGTTGGCTATTCCTGCCAGCTTGGTGTCATCTGCAAATTTGATGAGTTCCCCATCTATCCCTTCGTCCAAATCGTTGATGAAGATGTTGAAGAGCACTGAGCCCTGGGGCATCTCATTACACACTTCCCTCTATATAGATGCAGTTCCATTGAGGACCACTCGCTGAGTACGGCCGGTCAGCCAGCTACGGATCCATGTGGTGGTGATTCTGTCTACCCCACATTCTTATCAAGTAGTAGGTTGTGATCTACTTTATCAAATGCCTTACTTAAGTCCAAGTAAATTATGTCCACAGCATTCCTCTGATTCACTAATTTTGTCACTTGGTCAAAGAACGCAATAAGATTTGTCTGGCATGATCTATTTTTGACAAACCCATGTTGGTTTTTAGTAATGACTTTGTTTGCCTCTAGGTGTTTGTTGATTCGTTGTTTGATTATCTTTTCCAGGATCTTCCCAGGTATTGAGGTCAGGCTGATAGGTCTGTAATTTCCTGGATCCATTTTTCCCCCTTTTTTGAAGATGGGAATTACATCAGCTCTTTTCCTGTTCTCTGGTAGTTCCACAGTGCTCAGGATCTTTGAAAAATATAGTTCAGTGGTTCCGATATCACATCTGCCAGTTCCTTGAGAACCTTGGGGTGTAATCCATCTGGTCCTGGCGATTTGAACTCATCTAGGCTGGACAGGTGCTCACTTACCATTTTCTTGCCTATCTTAACTTGTGTTTCTATTTTGTTTTTTATGGCACTATTTTTGATAGGTTGGTCTGTTTTTTCCCTTTGTGTAAAGACAGATGCAAAAAACGAGTTAAATAGTTCTGTTTTCTCCCTGTTGTTTGTCACCTTCTTGCCACTTCTACCCACTAATGGACCACTCATTTCCTTCACTTTTTTGTTTTTTACATGTTGAAAGAAGCTTTTTTTGTTATTTTTGACTTTGGTCGCAAGCCTTAGTTCATTTTGAGCCTTGGCTTTCTTCACTTCATCTTTGCAGGCTCGGGCTATTTGCTGATATTCTGACTTAGTTATGTTCCCCTCTTTCCACTTTCTATACTTGTCCTTTTTATCTTTCAATTTGTCAGAGAGTTCTTTATGCAGCCATGCTGGTTTCTTTCGAGAGCTGTTGTTTTTCCTCTTTGTTGTATTGTATTGGATTAATCCCATTAGATTAATGTTGGATTAATGTTATTGGATTAATCCCATTAGAAGTCCTACAGATGGTCTGAAAATTGCATTGTGATATCTGATCATTTGGGGCCATTTTTCAAGGAAGGTTTATGGGTGGAATGTAAGAAGTTTGCTTCACTCAGCCCTCTTTCTATCCTTAAACCCTAATCCTAAAAAGGAAGAATTCTGGTCCTCTTCTGCTTAGAGAGCTCTTGCAAGCTTTTACAAGGTCAGTTGGCCTTGATCCTTCAAAATTGTTTACCCTTCTTCTAAAGCAGTGGTTCTCAACCTGTGGGTCGGGACCCCATTTGGGGTCGAACGACCATTTCATGGGGGTCCCCAAACAAGGCTGTCCGCCATTTTTTTCCCTTTTTCTTTGGCCACGCCCCTGGCACCCGGTGATGTATAAGTGGTTGGGGGTCACCACAACATGGAGAAATGTATTATGGGGTCGCGGCATTAGAAAGGTTGAGAACCACTGTTCTAAAGGAAGCTGGGCTTACTCCTAAAATAAGCACAGAGGTAGCATTCCGAGTCCAAGAAATGTTGCATCTTCATAAAGACAAACTGGTTTGTAAATGTTAACATTATGTGTAACATATTGACTTAATCATACTTAATTTCACTGATTTAATGAGTCTATTCTAAATATGATTAAATCTAGAGTCAACTTTATATAATTTTCTTTTATGTCCATGGAATATGAAAATAGGAGTGATATTCCCATATTTTCTTTTATATTTCACTATAAGGGGGGAAATATAAATTCTCAGAGAGGTTCATAGTATATTATATACATATATAAATATATTATAAGTAGTCCTTAACTTACAACCATTTGTTTAGTAACTGTTTGAAGTTACACCAGCACTGAAAAAACTTACGACAGTTTTTTGCACTTAAAACCATTGCAGCATCACCATGGTCATGTGATCAAAATTCAAATGCTTGGCAATTGGCAGGTATTTATTATAGTTGCAATGGTTTACCTTTGGTGATCTTCTGACAAGAAATGTCAATGGGGAAGCCAGATTCACTTAACAACTGTGTTACTAAGTTAACAACTGCAGTGATTCACTTAACAGCTGTCTCACTTAGCAACAGAAAGTTTGGTCTCAATTGTGGTCATAAGTCAAGGACTACCTGTAAAGAGAAAATTAACAAAAAAAATCTGCTTTAAGAATATAGCAGCTACTAGTACTGTATATATTCTAGTAAGTACAGGTCATGTTATTTTTTTTTAAAGATACTGATGCTCTGGTATACAAATTTATTAGATAACTTATTGTAAGAATATTAATTTATCTTACTGAGCTATGTATGTGTGAGAAAATTGTCAATATATGAACAGGAGGATAGTACAGAAAAAGAATACTAGTCCCTATTTCCTAAATGAAGTTCTTATAGCAGCTGAAGAGATTTTTAGCTTGCTTCTGGGATGGTAACCTTTCTCTCTATTAGGTGATGTTCTCCTTAAAATTATATATATCTGTGAAACAGAACATAAAAATTGAAGGCAGCCTCACAAAATTAGAACCAAAATACAAACTGTAAGAAGCAAATTCCAGTGAGTTCCTATAAGTGTGGCAAGGACTGAAGCTTGCAAGGATGCAATGCAGATTGGTTTTATATTATATTGCTTTATATTTCAAAGAAAACTACACTGTGTTTAAACCATGGCTTATGGCATAAACTGGTCATAGCTTGCTCTTCTCAATATAGTGGCAAGAACTGACTTGTAGGTAGATCCTCCTACCAAGGATGTGGGCTAGAAATTTGTCAATATTTTTTTGTGGAATGTTTTCCACTTTAGGCATTTGGTTGTTTGAAAATTGGATGAATCTGGCTTTTCAGATGATTGTTCTAAAAAAGAGAGAAGGAGAGATTTCATGACTGTTTCTGGTTGTTTCCAATCGATAGGTTAGAGAAGCTGCAGGAAACCAAAACAAAATGAGAAGTTGCTGGGTTGAAAAGTGTATCGTGCCTAAAATCACTAGTAAGTTTCTATGACAAATAATCGTCAACACAACAACTATTAGTTTAGTGACCAAAGTTACAATGGCACTGAAAACAGACTTATGGCCTTTTTTCACACTTACAATCATGGCAGCATCCCTGTGGTCATATGATCAAATCAGATGCTTGGAACTGTCATGTATTTATGACAACTGCAGTGTGTTGGGGCCACGTAATTACCTTTTGCAACCTTCTGACTAGTAAAGTCGATGGGGAAGCCAGATTCACTTAACAATTATTACTAACTTAACAATTGCAATGATTCACTTAACAATCCTGGCAAAAAAGGTTATAAAATGGGGCAAAATCAACAAATGTCTTGCTTAGCAATGGAAATTTTGGGTTCAATTATGACTTAAGTCAAGAATTATCTGTATTTGAATCTTGGGCTTCCCGGTCCTACTTAATATCCCCCAAAATTACTAGACAGACTCTTAAGAAGGCTTCAGATACTAGAATGATCAATACAGTAGGCAATTCTCAGTTAAATACTAGTCATTGATAATTAGTGCGATATTTCTTCAAAGTCATCAACCAAATGCTTGTGTATTTCTTAAGTGCATATTTTGGGTAAAAAAAATCTTAGATTTAGAGAGGAATTATCACCTTCTACCTTATATTTAATGCTAGCAACAACATATTACCAAAGCTACAAAACAATTCTGTGTCTACAGAATATTCACTCAGAAGTAACTCCTGCTGTGCACAGTTAGGCTTATTTAGAAGCGCACATTGGACTGTTCTGTTCTGCCAATAAATCAATCAGGCACTTTAAAATTTCTATCAAAATAGAAGTATTTAATAAAAAATGTATATAATGTAAAGTTTAAAGTACGTACATTTCAGAGCGAAAGAATACAAAGGATTGCACAGCACAATTAGTCCTAAGAGGTATACATACAGATAATCCTCGATTTATGACCACAATTGAGCGTGACATTTCTGCTACTAAGTGAGAGTTTTCCCTCATTTTATAATCTTTAATGCCACAGTTGTTAAGTGAATCTCTGTAATTTTTAATTTAGTGACATGGTTGTTAAGTGAATCTGCCTTCCCCAATTGACTTTGCTTGTTGGAAGGTTGCAAAAGATGATCAAATGACCCCATGACATGGCAACAGTCAAAAATAGTTGCCAAGCATCCAAATTTTGTACACATACCAGAATGCTACAACAATCATAAGTGTGAAAAACAATCATAAGTCACTTTTTTCAGTGCCACTGTAACTTCAAATGATCACTAAATAAATGGATGTAAATAGAGAATTACTTGTATCTTAGAAGAGACATATTTTTTTGCAAAGGAAAACAAGGTTCTTCTGAGATTAAAAAGAGAGAGAATTCTTTTCTACAGCTGCTTCTTCTCATCTGGCCATTTTTATAATTTAAATCATGTGGTAGTACAATTTCATAAATATTAGCCACATTAAAAGTACAGTTCTTGACTTAGTCCTTGACTTAGAATTGTGACCATAATTTCTATTGCTAAGCAAGGCAGTTAAGTGAGTTGCACCCAGTTTACAACCTTTTCCCATGGTTGTTAAATGAATCATAATAGTTGTTAAGTGAATCACATGGTCATTCAAGAAAATCTGGCTTCCTCCATTTACTTCGCTTATTGGAAATATGCTGGAAAGCTTGCAAATGATAATCACAACCCTGGGACAATCATAAATACATGGTGGTTGCTAAGTGCCCAAATTTTAATCACATGACCATGGGGAGGCAGATGTAAGTGCAAGGAGTGATCACAAATCACTCTTTTCCAGGAAGATTGTAACTTCAAACAGTTGCTAAATGAATGATAATATCAAGGACTACTCATAAAGATGTGCAAATTTTACTCCTTCTGTCACTATGCAGTTTTCTGAGCAGCATTATAAAAGTGTATTCTTTTAGGATGTTTTTAAACAATTACTATCCCTGATATTCCTTGCTATTTTTCCCTCCAAGTACAACCCAGCCCAGATCTTCATGGTTTCCAAGCCCAAATTTGGAATATGCTCCATTCATAAGGGTGTTTATTTTTCAATAAACACATATAAAGATTAGTCTGTGATTCATATGTTCAGAAGGTAGCCATATTTATTATTTATAAAGTATCATTGAATATTGAAACACTTATGGTACCAAAGCTATAATGCCCTTTTATAAACATCTTCTTGAGAATCGCCAAATCTTATCTCTAAAGAACAGTACAATCTTCCACCCACCCCTTTCTGAAAATAGGATTGTTTTATTCAAGTCAATCAACGTAAAGAATTAGTGAAGAAAAAAAACTAAGAATGACTCCACCTCATTTTTTCATAAGTGTTATACCGATTATGCAAGAGGATAACACTATGATGTGTAACTTCTCCAGGTCACGGAGTGGGGGGGGGAAGGGAAGCCCTCTACCAGAACTGATGTGATTAAAGTGATTTAGTGTGATGCACGAATGCAGATCCTGAATGAGTGGCTTTTAAGGGATGGGGGAGGGAGATGTATCTCTGCTATCATTGTATTTTGAATCATATTCACTAGGAAGGGAATTGGTGAAAAATTTTCGTGTCCACAAGAGGATTGTGTTACACTCTATTAGGAAGAGTATCAAGATTGCTTTATGCTGTACTTTACTTAAACTATATAACCTCAGGCGGATCAAGCCCCAGGCTACCTATATGTAGTCCTCAGTCCTTACAATAGTTCATTCAGTGACCTTTCAAAGTTATAACAGCACTGAAAAAAATGACTTGACAGTTTTTCATACTTACAACCTTCGTAGCATTCATATAATAATGTGATCAAAATTCTGATGCTTGGCAACTTGTTCTTACTTATGACTGTTGCTGTTTGCTAAGATCATATGATCACTTTCTGCAACTTTTTGAGAGCAAAATCAATGGGGAAGCCAGATTCACTTACCGTAACAACCATGTTACTAAATTATCAACTGCAATGACTCACTTAACAACTGCAGCGAGAAAGGTCATAAAATGGGGCAAAACTCACTTAACAAATGTCTCATTTAACAAATAATTTTGGGCTCAATTGTGGTCGTAAGTCGAGGGCTACCTGTATTTCTCCGAGAAAAAAAATGGGTGGCTAGCAATGCACTGTCAAACCTGCCCCCCTCGTGGCAAGGAACGTATTCCCAGCGCGCGGCTTCATAGCTCCCTTTCGGTTCAAACATGCTTTCATTCTGGGTAGGCTAGCGACCAAATACTAAAAAGCCCCCGGTCATCTAAGCTATCAATCGAGGCGGGAGAATGCAGAGGCTGACGTCCAGGAAGGTGGGGAAGGGGGTCAGGTGAGCGAAGCGTGGTCGGACGGGATGCCTGGGATGCTGAAGGGACTGGGAGGGGAGCCGGGCTGTCTATCGCGCCTGCAACAGCTACTGCGGCAGGCCGATCCGGGAGGGGGGAAAGTTTTCATTTACCACGACCCCTCGTGCGCTGCTTCTCGGCGCCTCTGCCACGCTAGTCCTGCTGCTCAGCCCCGCCATCTTCACAAGGGGCTGGACAAAGCCTTGAGGAGGGAGAACAGAGAGGCGAGAAGGAGGAGGAGGAAGGCGGGACGCAGGGGGAGGAAAACGTGAACGCTGAGGCCGGCCTCCTTTCTCGCTCCGATCGGATGTGGTGAGCCGTAGGAGTCGAGGAGGAGAAGGCAGCGGCGGCGCCGCGCTCAGGCTGGAGGAAAGAAGAAGCTCCTGCCAAACAAACCGGTGCGAGGAGGGAAATCTGGGCTGCCACTCCTAGTTGCTTGACACGATTTCTCCCTCTTCTCGTTCCCGGGCCGAGCTCCGTGACTCAGGCTTGGCTCGCCTCTTCCTCCATCGCGTGATGAGGTAGAGGCTGAGCCGGCTTTTGGGGGGAGAGAGGTCTCTTCCCGGCAAAGCCCCGTTTCTAATCACGTTTGAGCCGGGATGATATTTGCCTGGTCTCCTATTGCCCGGCACCTCCCTCGCTCTTCTCGCCTTAGAAACGATCGGCGGATGGAGTGGTAAAAGGTGGCCCGTTGAATAAACCAAAGGTGGAATGCCTTTCCCAAAAATGTCAGGATATAAGCCCCTATATAAGCAGGCTAGATTCGTGCAATGTGCCAAGCCAGAAATAATCAGTGTGGCTTAACTCAGTGTGTGAATCTAGTAAAAAATGTCTAGGCTTCCATGAGGGTTCATAGTACATACTTGAATAGATCTTTGACCTGGCTCTTGTACACCTAGCCTCGCTGGACGAGTTGCATTTCACTACAATTCTAAGTTATAATAACATGGTTTATCTGGCTTTGACTTATAGCAAGCCACAGCCTAGCTCAGTTGCCTAACTTTATTGGTTCAGCCAGCCTTGTTAATGGCCTGTCTTAAACTCGTATGAGTCAAAATAAACCAAGCAGAAGAGAGGGCATTAAATAATGTAAAACTTTACAACTTCTTAGCATTCCCTTAAAGAAGACAAAATATAAGACCCTCTGATGAGTCCCAAATAAAAGTTTGCTCACTTTTATTCTTTTGCTACAATAATGGGGCAAATGAGCCAGTTCCAATCCCTGGCAGTTCTATATGTAAATATAAATGGAGTGACATTCTTTGGATTCTCAGAATATATTTTGTCCAACTTCCTGGAGAGGGAGAATTGAATAAGAATGTTTGCCTTGTGACTGTAGTCAAATGGTTTTCATTATGACATTTTTTTCCTCTATATTCAGCAATACTGATGACCTTCATGAAAGAATACACATCTGTTTTAATGAATGAGAGGAGCTTTGATAGATACTTCATTGTGCCTGAAGTAGAGGAAAGAATCCTTTGCCATTATAATCAATATAATAAAAGAAGACATTCCATAAGAATTGATTGATGAATATGTGCTGTCAAATAAGTGTTGACTCTAGCAACCATAGAGATTTTTTTTCTGGAATGATCTGCTCCCACTTAGCCCCCCAGGTCTTCCAACAATGTTGCTGTAACTGAGTCCATCCACCTTGCTGCTAGCCATCCTCTTTTCTTGTCTTACTCGTTTCTCAGTATAATAGATTTTTCAAGAAAGCTAGGTTTTCACATATGTATCCAAAATATGATCATTTGAGCCTGGTTATATGTTCCTTGAGTAAAAATTCTGGATTGATTTGTCCTAGAATCCATTGTACTTGGATAGCTTTCTGTCATGAGTTCAGAGCCCTTTATATAGAATTATTCAGATTCATTTTGATTCAGACTCGCCATAGCTGAAGCCTGTGATTGCTGTACACATACTAATATCCATAAATCTTCTCTGAATTTAGGTGAGTCTAGCCACTAGTTTGTAAACTTGGGTTTATGATTTAATAGCTTGCATGAAACTGGTCAATTGAAGTTCACTGAACAAAATGTGCTTAAATAAAGCATGCCCTAATGCAGTGTGTGAACCAGGATACAGTAGTCCTAAAGCTATGACCATTTGTTCAGTGACCATTCAAAATTATGATAGTGCTGAATGTAGGGACTTATGACCTCAGTCCAAAGTTACAATTACTGCAGTGCCCCATGGTCATGTGAACAAAATTTAGGTACCTGGCAATCAGTTCCCTTTACATCCGACTGCAAGAACAACACAGTGCCTATGTCCCACTGCCTATGTCCTCCCCCCCCATTATGCCCCACTGGGTCTTCGCAGGCCTTGGGCCTGCTTCCTACCTCACTGATTCCTGCACCCTCCTTCCCAATCCCTGATTACCAATTGGTAAATCTCCTTCTGGAAGTAGCCGTTCCATTGTTCAGCTCCCTCCACATCAGTGGTTCTCAACCTGTGGGTCGGGACCCCATTTGGGGTCGAATGACCATTTCACGGGGGTCACCAAACAACGCAGTCCGCCATTTTTTTCCCCCTTTTCCTTAGCTGTGCTACTCCCATTTATTCTATTGGCTTTTGAAAGCCAATAGAATAGATTCTCTTGAATAGAGTCTAATTCTATTGGCTTTCAAAAGCCAATAGGAATTGTCCAGGCTGTCTCTGCCCTGCTGAGCCCAAAAGTCCCATTCTGCAAATGGTGGTGCACAGTTGAGTAGTCCTCGACTTACGACCAGTTGAGTAGTCCTTGACTTACGACCAGTTGGGGGTCGCGGCATTAAAAAGGTTGAGAACCACTGCTCCACATGCAACATCTCTGAAGTGAATGCTATTCTGGGAGCAGCTGCAATTAATCTCTTGTTGGGGAAGAAGACTAAGCCATTGTGCTTTTTGGCTCTCCTAGAGGCCACATGGCACTGTCCTGGAAACCAGCGCCTTTTGCAAGCAACCACAATTCATTGCAACCGCTCCCCAAATGATTCTTGCTTCTAGAACGGCACTACATGTTGTCCATTGTGTAGGAGGAAGGCCTCATGGTGGAGCAGCTGCAGGACCCTGTGGTGTGAAAAAGGAAGCCATGGCCTGAGGGGATCAAATGGGACAGGTAAGTAGGACTAAGGCATGCAGAAAGGAGGGAAGTGGAGCATGGGGTGCCTCAGAGAGTAGGGCAGGCCTTGGGATGCCTATGATAGGCCATATGTGAAGTGGGGAGATGCTGTAGTACTGGCTGGACCTGTGCTAGGCCTCCCAGGGCCTTCCCTATACCTGAAGCATTCTGTGCTCTGCTTAACGACCCATACAATTACTTAATGACTGCATCAGGAAGAGTAGAGATGGGGGTCATTAAGCAAAGCAATCATGTAAGCATCTCACTTAACAACCAGGAAACTTGTGACTGTAATTGACAGACTCCATTATGAGTCTAAGTTGAGGACTAACTGTATATACTTTCTGATGATTAAGATCTAGAGCAGAGTTCCCCAACTTTTTTGACTTTGCGCAAATGGGGATGTGCACATGCAGAAACGCATGCACTTGCCTGCCACTTCCGTGACCCAGTTCTGAAAGCCTCAAGGCCTAGTAGTGGCCCATGGCCTGGGGGTTGGGGACCCCTGTCTAGACCACTTCTCCTATAGTGAAAATACAGCATTGAAAGCTTGGGGGCTAGAAAGGATACCTTGGGGATATGATAGAGTTTTATGGAACCAAGCATGATAAATGAGATAATTTTATACTTTTTTCTTCAGCTTTGGAAACTCCAAAGACATACAATGACATTGAATGAGAACTAATAAAATGAACTTATAGTTCAGGCAGGCTTAGCATATTTCAACTTTTGAAAAAAAAACAGTATGGATAGTACTGTGAGTTATTTTATAAAATGCACATTTAATGTGCAAAATGTATTGATGTTGCCCTCCCCAAACTTGGTGTTAAGCCCTAATGGGATAGATACAGCAAAACATTAATATCCAAGGGTAGTAGCATATGCTTACCGCAAAGACTCGACTAAGCATATTTAATAGCAAATGATTCCTTAGATCAGTTATATTTCTGGGACTGAATCAGGGTTGCTAGTCTGGAAGCAGTAAGCCCAAACCCCCAAATTCATCCTAATAATGCACAAGAACTAGTATATGGAACTAAAGCAATATTTCAAAAATAACAATTAAACCTTACACTCTTGGAGTAAAAGAGCAGCCTTTGCTAAGTTTCTGAGTGATTCAGCTAATAGTGCATGCTTGTCTCAAAGAGGACACCATGTCTGTTGCCCCTTCAAATATTTAAGCGATCTCCAAATTTAAAAAAAAAAAACACAAAATTCTATAGGACAAATATACCAAACATTGATTTGAAAATAGCATGATGCTTAATGGACTGAAGCATGAAAACATTCTTTGCTGCAATAATAGCATAATTTGATTTGCTTGCTGATTTTATTGGCTAAACCAAAAAAAATCTAAATACTGAATGAAAATTGGGATTAGAACAGTGTTTCAGCATAAAAACATTATGCAGTTATAAACCATTGGACATTATGAAATTAAAGAACTGACATTTACAGGCCAGTGTTGATTATAAAATCAAAATTTGCTATGAAAGAACATTTATTTGTAAAACCTGTGATATTGAATGAAATGTTGAAAATTTGGACTATAGCATGTTTTGGCATCAAAACATTATGCAATTATAAATCATTGGCCATTATGAAATTAAAAACCTGACATTTATAGGCCAGTGTTGGTTATAAAAATCAGAATTCTCTGCCATTTAAACCAGCATTTGCTATGAAAGAGCATCTATTTGTAAAACCTGTGATTTTGACTGACTGACCGAAAATAGGGACTAGACCAGTGTTTCAGCATCAAAATATTATGCACTTATAAACCATTGACAATTATGAAATTAAAAATCTGACATTTGTAGGCCAGTGTTGGTTATAAAATCAAAATTATCTGCTACTTACATCAACATTTGCTATTAAATAATATCTATTTGTAAAACCAATGATAGTTTCAAAATAAAATCTAAAACTAAAGCTATCTAAAACTGAAACCATATAAAACATTTTGCTATTTACTCGACCACTCAACCCCCAGAATGCTGGCTCTGGTGCTTTGGGGCCAGGTGGCCATATGTTTGCTATCTGTTCTCTCCTTCTGCTCATCAATCAGGAGGCAACAGGAGAGTTTCCTTGAACCATGGGGAACCGTTGTTTGAGTCTTCCCTGATATGTCCATCGCTACTCTTGCTACTATAAACAAATCCTAGATACTTTCAAGGACATTTTTTTCCTACCAGAGAATTATTGCCCTGAAAAAGGATATTCCCATAAAAATCTAGACATG